CTGATAGCAACAACATAGAGACGAGCGCTCGTTCTCGTCGCCGATCGAGTCGCCGAACTCCGACTTCCTCATCCACACACATAGGAAATCGGCGAAGCCCCGATCGGAGATCGCCGAATACCGCATGTGCGGTTGCAGCATTAGGGTTGAAAAAGACCTTTCTGGTGTAGCTGTTGACACTGGTAGAGTTGCTAGGATCATTAGTAAAATGTATATATTTGGAAATATAAATTGGTTACACTCCGATTATCGTTTCGATGGCGTTTTTAGGTCGGTCGAGCTGCCATTTTTGCCGCCACAAGTCTAGTTCTGCCGCTAAAGTGTCATAGTCCAAGAATTTTTTGTCTAATAGCAGAACAATAACAAACGTTAATCACGTTAATGACCAGCAAAACAAACAACATTCAAAATCTTGTCCTTGTCAAACTTTTGCTGTTTTAAACACTTGAATGTTGAAAGTCGAAAATCGAAAATGACATTTGCTTTCAAAGTGGAAAAGTGAGGTTAGGGTGTATAATGTATATTCATCTTAGACAAGGAAAGAGAGGGGACAGGTAACCCGGCAGCTGAAAGTGAGGCAAGTTGTCACCACGCGAAATTCTCCAATGGCGTAGCATCAGAAATTAGCTTGTACCTAGACGGTACAAAATATTTATTAAAACGTAAACTAATATATCGTTCATTTTTGAGTAATGCATATACAATTTTGTATTTTATAGTCTCACCTTTATAATAATAGAATATCTAAGTCGATAATGCAAAATTTATTTAACAGTCACAGTGAACTGATTATCAAGACAATTATTTATTTATTAACGTGTGTATAATGTATAATTAAATAAAAAATAATGTAATAACATATGTTTTAAACGTGTATATACATATATACCGTATGATTGAAAAAACGGCGTCTTGTTTGCTTGAAATGACAATTAATAAATGAATATTAAAAATTACATTATTCATTGAATCCGTAAGCAAGTGTGAAGGAATTGACTAGATTCATTATTATACCGTGTAATCGAAAAAAACGACGTTCAGTTGGATTGTAAATTACGAATCGATGGTATTCCCCTATATAATTCTACATATAAAATGACATAAAAACTATACAAAAACGACATCGAAAAAAGACGGCGTCAGCGATAGCTATGAAAATGAAGATCGCTGTCATTTTATATGTAAAATTATATGGGGAATGTCGTCGATCGTCATTTACAAGCCAACTGGACGTCGTTTTTTCGACCATAAATGGTTTAATAATGAATCTAGCCATTCCCCTTCACACTTGCGTACGGATTCAATAAATAATGTAATTTTTAATATTTGTTACCTTCAATCATAAGAATATCCTAATTTTCCACAAAAAAATAAACAATTCTAGAAGCTTTGTGTTATTTTATTTATTTTTAAATTTTATTAATTACTCACTGAGACTATTATTATACACCTAAATTAGCAAATTTTTTGAAAGGATATTTAAAAAAATATATGTAGTAACAAGTAGCCCACCACAAGTTTGTCCACCCCCAGCAAATCTTGGCAGGTAAATTTAAGTTTTATATAACAACTACACATATAGATTTTTTATCACTAGAATTTTTATTTTTTTTATAGTTTACAATTATTTTACATATTTGATAAATATAAACTTTTTTTACATGTAAAATATATAAAAAAAGTTTATTGCAAAAATTGTATTTCTCTGATTATAATTCCCTACGCCACTGGAGAAATCCATGCTGAGTAGCATTATTTATAGTTTCAAACATTAATTATAATAAAGGATATTGAAAATACTACTTGAAATTATTAAAAATAGTTTGGTTTGGATGTGGTACAAAACATATTAAAAGCATTTTACATATTTTTACTGCTATAATGAAAAAATGTACATTTTATGACCACATAACAAAAGTTGTGTATCGATTTTTACCTGTGAAATGTAATTCCAGCTACTTTTTCTCAAGCTTCGGCCTTTGCAGCCATACGCTGAACATCTCACCATACTAAACAATACAGTTTATAAATTTAAAACAAAACAGTTGTCAAAAAAAACATAAAAATTCTCTCGGTGTCACCTCTAAATCTTGTCACCAAAGTATGGCCGCCGATCGAATTTTGGCCTCACTAACCGATCACGGGAGAATATGCGTGTTAGCCGTCCCCTCTCTTTCCTTGTCTAAGATATTCATCAATGACTAAAGATACAAGGAGAAATAGTACTAGGGTTCCCAACTTGAGCATCGGCGATTCCGGGACAATTATTTTTAAGCTTTTAATTAATTGAAGCAAGACATTAAATATTAGAAAATAAAATATATTATGTGTGTAGTACACATTTTTTTAGTTTCCAGGTCCCGGCCAAGGCAAAACTTTCGCCGGGACAAACTTTCTGATTCCTGATTAATCCCGGCTAAACCGGGACGGTTGGGAACCCTAAATAGCACCCGAGACCAAACTGTGACCATTCTTCCAAACAGTGCCGTGGCACATATTTTACTTAACATTGCCGCTTGAAGGGATATTTATATTTTTGATATTACCTATATGTTTTCACTACGCTTATAGTGTATCGGGTGGTATCATACTAATTAATTACGAAAAAAACGTATTAAAATGTTAACAAAAGGTACATGACTAGTATCGACATATAGTACATATCAAGTACATGTAAAAATAATTATCGAATTCAATAAAAAAAAACGCTAAAATGGTGTAGGGTACTGTTTGTTTCCCTATAAAACGTAACTTCTGGCTCTTTCTTATCATTGCGCCTTTTACACTTGAAAGCTGAACAAATTACCATTGTAATAAAGTTTATACAAAGTTCACTACACACAACCAACTATTAAAAATCGCTAAAATTGTCGCTGATGACCAGCTGATGATTCATGTCTAAAAAGTTGGCGTCTAAGGTCACAAATTCTGCTGCAGCCCGTATATGGGCGTTACATGTCCTTGTATTCTTTAGTCATTGATATTCATCCATCTTCTTCTTCTTCTTTTTTGTTTCGTTCTTACTTACTTACTTACTTACTTAATGATCATTACTTTTTAAATATTTTCGGCCATAATTTCGGGGGTGGGGGGGGGGGTTTGAACCCCTAAAACACCCCCCCAGATACGGCCCTGGATATGATGATTATATGATTTTATGATAAAAAAATATCAAAATATATAGAACTTTAAAATGCATGAGAATTTAAGGTGTCCAATTTTCGTGCGGGTCAGTGTTTTTTAGAACGTTTTTTTTATAAATATTAAAGGTTCAAAACACAAAAAAACACCTAATAAACTTGCGAAAAAAGTACGTATCCCCCCTAGGGTTATCCCTGTCCTTGTTCACCTACAACTAACCGTATTGTTTTTTCCAATTTTCCCAATTCTCCGTTCATATTAATACACTAACTCCACTCGTGTTTTCCTCCTTCCTTCCGTCTGCCTGTCTGGCCCCCGGCTCATTCTAAACCTGTTATCTTAAAGCATTCCCCGGGGAATCCCCGGCCCCGCGAAACCTAATAAAACGCCGGATGTATCTTGGCGGTGACGGGTCGATCCCCCTCCCGAGATTATCCCCAGAGTCCCTGCTTTCGTTTTGGCAGGATAATGTGCTCTAGCTCTGAGGAGCGGAAATATGTGTGTGTGCGTTGGCGTTAAAGACCTCGAATTAGTGTTTTTCACATTTATTCTGGAGTATTTTGCTTTTTTTGAGCCAGCAACCTAACCCAAAACTTACAATTTGTAAAAATCTAATCGTTTAGCTACAATACTCCGTGTCGGATGTGGTAAACAACCCTGTATATTTTATTCTATGGGGAAAAAAATTCTATTTTGATGATTTTTTAACCAGTTTTTAACTAAATTTTTTGAAAAAATGTCTATACCTATGTGGCGAATTCATCTATCCAAAAAAGTCCTATGGATATGTCGCCACTGGAAGAAAAATCTACAAAATAAAATAGTTATTTTTTGTAAACACTGCTGCGTTAATCCAACGGAGACTAATTGTCAGCAGGGGTTTACTGATAAACAAATTTGTCAAACGGACAAAAAAATGCTTAACGTTTCGTTTTCGAAAAGTATGTCTTTTCCCGTCGTCGGAAGCAAAAAAACACAACGAACAGAGAAAAAAACTATTTAAAATATCTAAATGCAACTATTCGAGAAACTTTAGATTTTTTTAAACAGATACGTCTATAAAAACCGTTGACGTTCCGTTAACATGACATTATATGAAGTTAAACTTCAAAATTAACAATTATTACTACCTGATAACAATTACTTAATAAGGTAAAAGCAAAAAGCTTGAAACTTTCTGTGTGAATAATTATTTGTGCTATACGTGGCAACTGCGCAGTCTCTAATTATTTGTGCTATACGTGGCAACTGCGCCGTCTCCATACATCGTCGCATTGCGGCGGTAGCCGAAGAAGAGCGAGGCCCCCAGGCAGGAGTCGAGCACAAGACGTTAGACCAAACGCGTCGTCTCTTTGTTTTTACCCTTTCGACTCGATGTTTTATATGAGTATTTAGCCACCTTTTGTTTAGTTAGTTGTCTCCAAAGTTTGCTGTAATTTCGCGATACAACCGAAAAAGTATGCCAGTCCACTGAACATTTTATTTCGTCGATGGTTTCATTTGTTTCCTTAAGCCAAGGGGAAACTACATTTTGGTCACTTCGTCCGATAATTGATTGGAATTTCGTCGTCGACTTGCTGTGCTGTAGTAAGATCCGCCCGCCGCCATTTTGGATCGTTGTGCCGGCGTTCGGTCGGTAAATAAGGTGGTCCATTCCAAATTATTTCCTTTCTTGCCTTGTAGCTATTGCTTGGCAATTTTCGTTACTATCAATAGTGTAATTAGTTGTTTTCGTCGTTCTTTACCCATTTCGGGGTAAATATTTTGTTGATATTATTTCGCCTATTGATAATTTTGATCGTTTCGTAAGTCTGATTTTTACTCTTCGTAAACATTATGAGTGAAGTAGCGTCGAAAACATGGACAACCCATTCGAAAACGCGGATCATTTTAAGGCTAAGGTCACTCATTTTGAAAAATACGTCGTAATTTGCGAAAACACGTATCCAGACAAAATCGTGTCGTGGATCGCGTTGCATTTTAGACTTGAAACGCGTTAAGGAACGGTTTTCACAGGTTTTACGAATTTGAGTTAGTGCAAAACGAAATCGAAGAGTCTCTAGATCTTGCTTCGGTAATTCGCAGTATGAGGAACGCGAAAATTTTAATGATGCTTATTTTAGGTTGATGGCCAAGGCTAAATCATTTCTTGCGGATGATAGTATAGATAACGTGAAAAGTAGTGGTAGGTCCGTTGCGGGTTCGGTAGCCACGCAAAATACAAATATTTCGCAAAATTTGGTTCAGGATTTTAAACGAGTTAAACTTCCAACCATCGAGATTCGCACTTTCACAGGTGAATACGGTAAGTGGTTAGAGTTCCGTGATACCTATGTATCGCTAATTCACGAAAATGATGCCTTATCGGACATACAAAAATTTCATTATTTAAGATCATTTTTGGCGCCTAAAGTGTTGGAAGTTATCGCGAGTTTAGGGTTTACAGGGACAAATTATGAGGCTGCGTGGAACTTAATTTACGCTCGTTATAATAATAACAAAATTTTGATTCAAAATCATCTTCGCGGTTTATTCACGTTAGACAAGATTCAGGAAGAATCTCCTTCGGTGCTAAGAGACTTAGCAGATAATGTGGATAAGCATATAAGATCTTTAAATGCTCTTGGGGAAGACACCACTAATTGGACAATCTTGTTAATTTATCCTGTTTCATCTAAATTAGATTCCATGTCACTTCAAAAAGTGGAAAAGTGCCAAAGGTGAGGCCAAAAATCGTTGTTGCCAGATTTGACTAAATTCTCTTCTGAGATCGGTTTCACACTTTTTGGAATCGTTAGAGCAGGCAAAACCCGACAAAGTCAAATTCCAAATTTAGGGCAGGATGGAACTGTAAACATACTGGGCAAAGGCGTAGTTCGGTCTCTTTTTGTTGTGACAGGGGCAATCGTGTTACATTGTGCGGAGCATTTCATACCAAAACTGTCCAGATTTTGTAAATTCTATGTGAATGAGAGAATTCAGGGAAGCGAAAAATTGCGTTTGTGTTTGAAATCTGTTTGAGAGCTGCATGTTTTAAAAAGATTGTCGTCTTCGATTGTTTGTAAAATTTGTAAAGTTTCGGCACAACGTTGTTGCACATAAATCGAGAAAGGCGGTGGAACGACCGCTGCCGGGCCGCTGCTACCAGTTCCTCGACTAAGGTAAAAAGGAGGAAACTGTGACCAGTAGCTTCGCTTCGCATAAAAATGATGGTGTTCTTTTTGTCAACTGCAGTAGTTAGGTCTTGGGAAAACAATGAATGGTTTACAGCACGCGCTTTATTGGATCCTGATCGTAGAGTAGTTTTTTGTCAAGGTCATTTGTATCAAGCTTTCAACAATTCAACCAAAGTAAAATATCAACATTTGTGGTTTGAACGAAACTGAGTCTGCGGTTTCTGGAAAGGTGAATGTTAAGGTCCAATCTCGTATAAATGACTTTCGTTGGAATTATCCTGCTTTGTTATCCCTCCTGTTACAGGGTTGTTGCCCACCTCAAAGGTCGACAGTCAAAATTTGAATATTCCTGCAAATGTTTCAGTTTGGCAGATCCTACATTCTGGTAATAAGTGGTCCTGTTGACATGCTGATTGGAGCCGATTCCTTCTGGATTTGTTATGTAAATAGATCAAACTAGGGGCCCTACCATTTTGCAGAAAAGTAAACCCGGATGGATAGTGTCAGGAAAGGTGACTCGGCTAAATAACTTTGAGGGTACAACAGTTTGCAATTTTGTTAAACTGAGCAAATAGATAGGCAGTTATCGCGGTTTTGGGAAATAGAGGAAGGCGTGGTTAGAAACCACAATCTGTCGAGGAAATTGTCTGTGAGAAACATTTCGTCGGATACGTTTTCTCGAGTACAATGGAAGTTTTTGTTATTTCAATGCTCTCCTATGGGCAGCCTAAGCCAGCTCGGCGAATCGTATAATGCAGCCAAAAGCAATTTCTATCCCTTGGAACGAAAATTCGAGCGCGATCATGAGTACCGGGATTTGTATCGTGATTTTGTCAATGAGTATCGACGCCTAGGGACATATGACAAGAGTGTCCGATCCTAGCGCATCTCAGTTTTCGTTTTACCTTCCTCACCATGGTGTTCTGGTTGTCCGTCTACTACCAAACTTCGAACTGTTTTAATGCCAGTGCCAAACCACCAGTGGTTGCTCGCTAAATGATGTTTTATTTATTGGTCCAACCATTCAGTGTGTGAACTTATTCCCATTTCGTTGCGCTTTCTGTAAATTTCAGTAATGTTTGGCGGCTGGATTGGAGAAAATGCATCGTATGGTGGATCGATCCCACAAGCGGTGCTCGCTCGTTACGAATCCTGTGGCGTGACAGTCCAGACGAAGATATCGAGGTGTACGAGCTGAACACTGTTACATATGGGACTTCATCGGCGGCTTTTCTCGCCATTAGGTGCTTGTACCGATTGGGAGTCGAAGTTGAAGAAGTTTCTCTCCGTTAGTTGCCAACACAATAAAGAATCATTTTTATGTCGATGATGTGCTTACTGGTGGGGATACTATTGAAGATACCCTGAGTTTAGCTAACGAACTTTGTAAAGTTCTAAAAGGTGGTGGTTTTCTTCTTCGCAAGTGGGTGTCAAACGAACCCTCTATACTCAAGGAAATCGAATCTGCAGATAACAATGGAGTAGTTGATATTGGTTGCATGGAGAACAACAAAACATTAGGTATGCGTTGGAACGGCGAAGGAGATCATTTTTTCTTTTCGATTGGAAATCAGTCAAGTTCCAAGGTCACCAAAAGAATCGTATTGTCAGAAATCTCTCAAATTTTCGACCCTCTTGGTCTCCTTAGTTGTTGCGTAATCTTGGTAAAGATTTTTCTTCGTGATCTTTGGTTGGAAAAGTTAGATTGGGACGATGCCCTTTCCCAGCAATTATATACAAGATACTTACAGATTCGTAATGATTTAAGATTTTTGAACAATTTGAAAATTGATAGGAAAGTCATTTGTAAGAATGCAAAGCTTGTAGAGCTGCATGTATTTTCGGACGCGTCGTCTTATGCTTTGGGAAGCTGTGTTTATATTCGAACGATCGATAATCATGGTAATATTTTTGTCAAGCTTTTGTGCGCTAAATCAAAGGTTGCTCCCTTAAAAATACAGACAGTCCCGCGTCTCGAGCTTATGGCAGCTGTGTTAGCTGCACGTCTCTGTGAAAAGGTTCGGCAATCCATGGAAATTGAGTTTAATAGCATCACATTTTGGACCGACTCGACGATAGTTTTGGGCTGGATAAACACCTCTCCGCATTTGTTGCAAGTTTTCGTCGCCAATAGAGTTAATTCGATCCAAGAGCTCACAAATATTGAAAATTGGAGGCATGTGCGAACCCAGGACAATCCAGCTGATTGTGTGTCACGTGGCATGAAGCCTCAGGAGTTGTTAGAGTTCGAAATGTATTGGTCAGGACCAGATTGGCTTCGAGAATCCATAGAAAGCTGGCCTGAGCCTCTTGTAGTGTCCAGATCTAACGAGTTGCCTGAATTAAAAAGGGTCGTTGTTGCAAATACATCTACGTTAGACTCTGAGTTTATAGATTTGTCTAGGTTTTCCAATTTAACTCGATTGGAACGAGTGATTGCCTACTGTATTCGTTTTATAAATAATTGTCGTAGAAAAGAGGATGAAAGGTTATCGAGTTCTTTAAGTTGTGATGAAATAAGTCATGCGTCCTTAGTATTAGCTAGGTTGTCACAACGTCAATCATTTTCCGAAGATCTTGTAACATTGTCCAAGCAAGGGCAAGTTAGTAATAAAAGTAAATTAATAAAGCTTCATCCATTTTTAGATGAAAACGGTTTAATTCGTGTCGGCGGACGTTTAAACAACTCAGATTACGTATATGAGAAAAAACATCCTATTGTGTTGTGTTCAAAACATGTTTTTACTAGGCTTTTATTCGCTCGTGAACACAAACGGCTACTGCATGCTGGCCCACAGCTCTTATTAGCTGTTATTCGGGAAAATTATTGGCCCATAGCAGGACGTAGTTTAGCTCGTAAAGTTTTCCATCAATGCGTAATTTGTTTTCGAAATTGTCCCAAAGAAATTAGCCCGGTGATGGGTGATTTACCAAAGCGGCGGGTCACACCATCTCCTCCATTTTACGTAACTGGCGTAGACTACGCTGGTCCCTTCCTAATCAAGGATAGACAGGGACGCGGCTGTCGCACTTCAAAGGCTTATATTGCGGTGTTTGTATGCTTTGCCACAAGGGCTCTGCATTTAGAGTTGGTAAGCGCTTTAACCACAGAAGCCTTTCTAGCTACTTTGAAACGCTTTGTAGGTCGGCGGGGAAAACCTGCACAAATGTACTCAGACAACGGTACAAATTTCCAAGGAGCTTATAATGAGTTATCTAAATTAGCGAATTTTTTACAGAATAATGCAAATTCAATTGTCGAAGCTATCGAGAATAAAGGCATCTCATGGTCATTCATTCCGGCTAGTTCTCCACACTTTGGTGTCAGGGAATCATGCGAACGGTCAAATATCATTTGAAACGTGTTGGTGGAAACGCATTATTAACTTTCGAGGATCTGAGTAATGCTATTGATAGAAATTGAGGCTGTCCTCAACTCGCGTCCCATGAGTCCTTTATCTTGTGATCCCTCTGATTTGACACCTTTAACTCCCTCCACTTTTGATTGGCTCGACCTATGGAATCCGTACCAGATAGAGATTACACGGCAGTACCAAATCCAATCAAGCTATCCCACTTTCAACGAATTCAGCAAATGAAAGGGACATTTTTGGACCAGATTGTCGTTGGAATACATATCCGAATTGCAGAAAAGGCAGAAGTGGATAACGCAACAAGGCCTACTCTGAGGCCAACGATTTGGTGTTAGTCAAGGAGTATCCACCTGCCTCCAATGGTTGCTTGACGAATAGTGGAGACCCATCCAGGAAAGGACGGAGTCGCCTCGTGTCGCCACCCATCAGACCAAAGCAAGGCACCATCAGGCGTTCATTTGCCAAAAATTTGTCCCTCACCATGTATTGGCTCTAGTAATAGTTAAGTGTTGAAAGATGCTCTTAGACTCTCAAGGCGGGGGCAATGTGAATAATTATTTGTGCTATACGTGGCAACTGCGCAGTCTCTACCATTTGTGCTATAATGGTGGCAACTGCGCCGCCCCTCATGCTATCGTCGTATCAGTGGTAGCTGAAGAAGAGAGGCCCTGTGGCAGGAGTCGAGCACAAGACGCCAGGACCAAACGCGTCAGTTCTTTGTTTTTAATTTTCGACTCGATGTTTTATAAGGAGACAATAATTTTGTTTAGTTAGTTGTCTCAAAGTTTGTAATTTCAAGTGACAATAAACCGAAAGTATACAGTCCACTGAACATTTTATTTCGTCGATGGTTTATTTGTTTCCTTAAGCCAAGGGGAAACTACATTCTGCATGGTTATTTTTTAATATGTTTTTAATTTTTACGAACTATATCGACAATATTAGTATCTGTACTCTCTAAAAATTTGTTACATCTTTAAAAATAATCTAAAATGTCAATATTCCATGGGTATATTGATACATATGGTCTAAATTATAAGAAAATGCATTTTCTACGAAAACTTGAAGAGATAGGTAAAAAATAGTATAATACAATTTGATAGACAATTAAATTGTGCATCTGATTCTCATAAAATATACAGGGTGTTTCATTTAAATTAAACAAGTTATTGCCGTTTAAAGCTAGTAATTATTTAAAGTAAATTTTTAGACACTCTGTATAAGGTAGTATAATTTTTATTATTGCAACACAAAATTTAGTAAATAGAAATACTTCAGTACAATATTTGGTTTTAAAAACTTAAATAGGACTAATAGAGAAATGAAGCATTACTGTGTTACTGTACAAGAACCTAAATATTTCAAAAAAATTTACCTTTGTAGAATGTAGAATGTTTAGGAGGGGAGTTAGTCACCGCGACCTTACAGATCTATTGTGTGTTCCCCTTTCTTGGATTATAACGAGTTATAACTCGTCATACAGTCTCAAGGCTTTAACAAAAGCCAGTATCTGAGACGGCTCAACAGAGGCCAGCTCTCCATCCTTGACATCAGCCGTACCAAAGTTCATGGCACGAATGGTCATCGTCTCGGCGGAGTCAGTGATGAGGTGTTCTGGTGTTTCCCCATATTCCCCACAGAATCTGCATTCGCCGTTGTTTCTCAGCTTTAGCCTACTGAGGTGTTCGTTGAGGAGACAGTGTCCTGTTAGAAACCCCGTGACAATCCGAAGATTGTTTTTACTAAAATCAAGGAAAACCTTTGATTTTTCTCAGTCGTAGGTTCTGAGGAACTTTTATGAGTCTTAGACCGTTGAAGGACACCCATTCTAAGTTGCGGTTGGAGTCTTCCAGATTCTTCAGTTCCGCTTTCAGTTGGCTTCCGCTTGGAAAACAGAACGGTTCTGGTCCAGTTAGTGGAGTGTTCGCTCCTTTCCTAGCTAGATCATTTGCTTTTTCATTGCCTTCTATCCTTTGGTGAGCAGGCACCCAGAGTAGGACTTTATTTTCTTTGCCCAACTTGTTGAGCTTCTCTAGGCATTCTTTGACCAACTTCGAATTGATGGTTACTGGTTGATCGCGTTTAGTGCTGCTTGACTATCGGATAGGACAGCAATTTCTTGTTTTCGATAGTTTCTATCTAATATAAATTGTACACATCTTTCGATAGCATAAATTTCTGCCTGGAGGATACTGGGGTAGGTGCCCATTGGTTCGGAGTATTTGGTTTTCGGCCCAAATACTCCTATCCCTGTCCCTGTTTTGGTTTTGGAAGCATCAGTATACCACGTTATGGTATGGTCTTTTATATGCTGACTAAGCGTTTTTTCCTTCCAATCCTTTTTATTACTCAATACTACAGTGGGGTGTTTCTCAAAGTTGTAAATTCTTGGTATATCATCCACTGGGAGTTGGAGAAGTGGAATTTTCTTTTTGAGGGTGTTTCAAGCCCCTGACCTAAAAATTCTCCCAGCACTGTTTCCGTCAATGACCATTCTAATCATTGTCGCATTGGCATAACTACCGACGACAATGTGCATTGGTGTTAGGTCTAAATTGAGAGATACCAAGGTCTAAAATGAGAGACAACCCGAGATCTTGTTCCAATCATGGCTCAACTTAATATCGAGGATTGTAGCAAAAATGTTGTGATGGGCAGACACCGCCTCCGGAAGTAGAGGAGCTCGCGCGATTCTGCAGCCAACGGCGACTACCTCTGCTATTGGGATGTGACTCCAATACGCACAATGAGGTATGGGGAAGCACTAATACTAACACTAGAGGTGAGTGTTTACTAGAATTCCTCTTAGCGTACAATCTTGAAGTTCTCAATATAGGGAACACCCCCAGGTTTGTGACAAAAATAGGGAACACCCCAACGTTTGTGACAAAAACGCGGGCGGAAGTATTAGATTTAACAATCGGGAGTGCTAGTGTAACTAGTTACGTGAAAGATTGGAGGGTCTCAACGGAACCTTCCCTATCAGATCACAGAATCATCGAGTTCAAATTAGGAGGAATCATACTCCAATCTGAAATTCGAAGGAATCCAAGAAAAACCGATTGGGAACTATACCACACCAATCTCGTAGACAACCTGGACCAAATAGATGCAGGTAGGGCTAGGAACCACCTGTATCTAGAATGGTACGCAAAGGAAGTCAGTGGTGCAATATTGGATGCAAATGAATCTAGTTGCCCCACAAGTAAGGGCATACAAAAAAGTAACAACAAGCCCTGGTGGAACAAAAAGCTGGCCAATCTTAGATCGGAGGTCCGACGACTCTTCAACAGAGCCAAACCCAGCGGAGAATGGCAGCTCTACGCCGAGAAATTAACGGAGTATAATAAGGAGATTAGAAGGGCAAAGCGGTCTGACTTCAGATGCTTTTGCGAAAACATCACTTCAACTACTTATGCAGCTAGGCTACACAAAGCTATGGCCAAGAGTGGGCCCATCCCCAACATGGCACTTAAGAAACCTGACGGAAGCTACACGGAAGGAGATGAAGAGAGAGCTAACCTCCTACTTCATACACACTTTCCAGGTAGCATATCTATTGATACGCAAGTAGCTCCGACCGAACCCCAAAATCCTCGCAGGGAAGACTGGAAGACGGCCAAGCTAGTAATAACAGAACAAAAACTGAAATGGGCTATTGACACCTTTCAGCCTTATAAAACAGCAGGAATAGATGGGATTTTTCCTGCCCTTCTAAAGAAGGGTCATGGCTTACACTCCATCTATTAAACATTGCAAGAAGCAGCTTGAGTGGGAGGGGGGTTAATCACTTCGACCTTACAGACCATCAGATAAAACCGCAGTAGTGCCATTCACCAGAAAGCGAAGTTTGAAAAACTTGAAAAGAATCCATCTAGATGGAAAGGAAATACTGCTATCACAGGAAGTGAAATATCTGGGAATAACCCTGGATAGTAAACTTCTCTGGAACAGTCATATTAAGAACATTACCAGCAAAGCCACAAAGGCTCTCATGATATGCAGAAGACTGGCGGGAAATAGGTGGGGCTGCGCCCCTAACATTTTGCGCTGGATGTATACCATGATAGTAAGACCCATGATTACTTATGGAGCAGTTGCTTGGTATACAAAACTAGAGCAACGTACAGCAAGGCAAACCCTGTGCAAAGTACAGAGACTGGCATGTATCTGCATCACAGGTGCCATGAGAACATGTCCAACAGCAGCAATGGAGGTCATTCTAGACCTAACACCACTGCATATTGTCGTCGGTAGTTATGCCAATGCGACAATGATTAGAATGGTCATTGACGGAAACAGTACTGGGAGAATTTTCAGGTCAGGGGCTTGGAACACCCTCAAAAAGAAAATTCCACTTCTCCAACTCCCAGTGGATGACATACCAAGAATTTACAACTTTGAGAAACACCTCACTGTAGTATTGAGTAATAAAAAGGATTGGAAGAAAGAAACGCTTACTCAGCATATAAAAGACCATACCATCACGTGGTATACTGATGCTTCCAAAACCAAAGCAGGGACAGGGATAGGAGTATTTGGGCCGAAAACTGAATACTCCGAACCAATGGGCACCTACCCCAGTATCCTTCAGGCAGAAATTTGCGCTATCGAAAGATGCGTACAATTTATCTTGGATAGGAACTATCGAAAACAGGAAATTGCCATCCTATCCGATAGTCAAGCAGCACTTAACGCGATCAACTCAGTAACCATCAATTCGAAGTTGGTCAAAGAATGCCTAGAGAAGCTCAACAAATTAGGCAAAGAAAATAAAGTCCTCCTACTCTGGGCGCCTGCTCACCAAGGGATAGAAGGCAATGAAAAAGCAAATCTAGCTAGAAAAGGAGCGAACACTCCACTAACTGGACCAAAACCGTTCTGTTTTCCAAACGGGAACCAACTGAAAGCGGAACTGAAGAATCTGGAAGACTCCATCCGTAACTTGGAATGGGTGTCCTCTAACGGTCTAAGACACTCGAAAA